TCTGAAAGAGGATATTGCAGAGGGTACTCAACAAGTACTTCTAATGATCTTTGTACTGAGAAAGAGTTGCAAAGAACGGAAATGTAGCCATTAAGTTCAAGTTCCAGTTTCCTATTAAACAACAGGGTGAAAATGTAGCAAAACACAGAAACTGTTTCAATATGCAAGAGAAAAACTATTTAAAAATGTTATTTATGTGTACACGGTAACCTACCACATCAGCAAAGCAACAAATTACAGTAGGAAACATGTTTCTCACCGGGGTGATCCACTGTCTAGCACAACCCAARCTGAATTTTCAGGTTACCAGCCTGCCCCCAGTTAGTTTCCTGGGTCAACTGCTGTTTACTAAAAATGTTGGCCTGCCAAAGGGAATCCACCATAGTCTGAGGTAGCTAACCAAGCTGCTGTTACTGATTGCAGAGTAACTGTGGAATATTAGCTAAAAAAACACTAAAAAAAAAAAAAAGAAAAAAAAAGGACGGAAATAATGTTACTTATTAGAATTGAGTTCCCAATTATTATTTTAAAAATCAACCCCAAAAAAGCATAGACATTTTCATTTGTTTTTGTAGAAGAAATGTGAACTAGCTTGCAAACAGAAGTAAAAAAGACTTTGTGGTCTTGGTTTGTTCTTGAATATTGAGCTGTGAACAAGTATATGCCAGAAAAATTAGTTAACAGTGCTCTGGACTCTGTATCCGTAACATGAATAAAGCTCATTCTTCCTGATCACCTAAGCATTTTTTTTTATTCCCCTTTATTGTAGAGAACATAGAATTTTTATTTGTTTTGAAACAAATCTCATTTAAATAAGAACCATCACTACAGTATTGGTCTTTTGTGGTGGCGCAGTTCTACTGTCAGGTGATGAGTTCCGCAGCCATATATTTTCTGTAGATAYATCTCAACCTCCATGCTAAGAAAGCTGCTCTTCCTATAGTCTCCTCCTTGACTCTTTTTCATGCACTGGGAGGTACTCGGTGGAGTTTGGGGGCAAACAGGGAGATGGRAAATAATATCTGTATCTTCACAGCTCTCTCTGTCTTAAAGAGTGCTCTTAAAATTTTGACTACCAGCCCATTGCTTCCCTTGTGAATTTTAGGCTGTTTCGAAAATTATGCATTATATTTTGTGARAAATGCAGCACTGTGTATATGTGTTTGGGGACTTCTTAGTATCACCGAGCTGTCTAAAAAAGTAAGGTTGCATTTAAAGTTCTCTTACGTATTTTGAGAGGAGGGGAAATCTAAAAATAAAAGTCCAAGAAGAACACAGTAAATAGATAGTGTCACAGGTACTTCCTCTTAAAGACCTAGATAAAACAGAGCCATGCTTCTAGAACGGGCTTTTAGTGAGAATGCTGCTGGTTTAAATTACTAGCCTTTAAAAACTCCCAAGCACTCTACAAAGAGAGAAGCAGTTACTCTAAGACTTTGTTAGGTTTTCTGGCTGGATACGTACAGAATAAATACACTCAGRTAAAGAGAGGTAGAAAATAAATCAAGGCGAAATGTTGTTTGTCACATTTGAGGGTGAAGTGAAAAACAGGCCTAAGTGTGTGTGGTTATGCCTTCCCCCACACACAGGCTTTTGAGTTAGACAAATAAAATCTTTCTTCTTAAAAAATAAAATAAAAGATTTTTTTTCTCCTTGTTACATCTGCTTATCTAGAAAGTTGCTCAGAACCAGACTTTGTAAAATAGATAACACAAGTGAGCAGTGAGGAAGGAAACGTATATTCACTTGACTTTGTAACCCTGTTGCTGTCTCTGTGGGTCCTACCTTCCTTCCATCAACTTCTTTTAAATATTGTTTAAGTTTCCACAAATACACCAGCAGTCATATTAGTTAAGTTTCCTGCCTCCAGTTAAGATCTTGTTGTATATACATGAAAACCATGAAGTGGGGGATTTTTCTTAGAACCACTGAAAACCRTAGACAGTGTTTGTGATACCTCAAAATAAAAATAAAGAAGAGAGAAAAGCAGGGAAACTAAAACCTGCTCAAAAAGGTCCTTTTCAGGTCACCTTGAAAACCAGAGGGCAGCAGGAGGTACAAAAGTGACTTTCTGAAAGTTGTACAGCACGTCCTCGCACATTCCGAGTGGGCACCAGCAGTATTAAATACGTAATGCCCTGCTTCAGCCGYTCAGGAGCGAGTCGGGATGCTCAAGCAGTGCGTATAGGAGTGTCCACCTATAGATGTGCGTGATGCAGAGGGACTTTTATCACACAGTAGGAAAGCTGGCTGATACCTCGGTGACAGGCAGCGATCCACTCTGTGATGGGAGATACCCGCAGGAAAATCTGTTATAAAACCTGTTTCTGACCATTAAAAAAAACAAGGGGGAAGGAGAAGCCCTCTCATCTGCATTTCTTAAGTCTTCTCAGGGAAAGCTGCAAATATTACATATATAAAACTTAAATAACAGCATCCACTGCCTACCAGAGTGTCCGAGTGGCTTTTTTGCATTAATGTCGTTTGGTTTTTGTCCTTGTCTAGTAACACGAGATTACAACAGATATCTCCGAAGCGCAGCCTATGTGTTCTGGGGTCTGTTGGGAGGCTTTTCTCCATAATAAACATTCAAGGAAAGTCTGGCCTCTTCAGAACGATTTCCTCCTCGCCTCCTCCTTCCCCCTGCCCATTTGAATTCCTCATTGTGATGCTGATMATTGCCGAGAAAAAGCAAGTCCAAAAATTACCAATTGCTGTTTTTGTAAGTCACGGTATGGAGGACCTCACTGATTAGTGAATGGAAGAAAGGAGAATGGTAATTTATAAGAACAGAACTACAGGAAAACTAGCAGATGAGAATAACATTTCCGTCTGAAACTTCAGATGCAATGTGTGATGAAAGATCAAAGAATTCCCAATTTCTCCTCTTTGTTGGTATTTAGGAAAATATGACTGTAAGTTTTCTCTGAAAATATATATGTATTTAAACTTGATACAAGCCTGTGTAACTGTGGAATCCAYGTTCTCCCTCCTTTGCTGACTGCCAGGACTTATGTCACACTTTAGGCTCAGATTCCCATATATCAAGCTTTTGGGGCTTAAATTTTCTCATTTTCCCTCTTCTATGAGGGAATATCTTTCTCAATATTGGCAAATCATCTTCTGTTTGCCATCTAGAAGCCAAGTTCAACACAAGCAGAGCTTAAAAAGCAAAGACAGAACTGAAGTACAGAGCAGCAAGAGTTTGCACTAACGGGGTAACAAGGGAATGCCGACTGGAGCATTCTGAGGGGCAGTTATCTTCRAGGAGCATAAAAGGAGGGCAGAAAATGTATCACATAAAGACCGAGAGAAGAGAATCTGCCATGTCTTGGGCGAGACATTGAAACAGAGAGAGAATTTTTTTTAATGTTTTGCATATGAATGGTATCTAGAAACACGAGGAAAGTCCCTAATACCTGGCATTTGTGATGGGGGATTTTAAGTCAGGGTCACAAGATTTTATGAAATGCATTTTCTATGAAAATGTTTTCCAGCTCCAGTTCTTGTTGATGTTTTTAAACTGCCTGTTCTAACTGTGTCTGCCACAGGACCATGGTGCAAGTCTGCTATCCGTCCTTAGGGCCTCTGTAAGATTATGGGTCTGGCTTTTTGTTGTTGGTGGTGGTGGTGGTTTGTTTGTTTGGATTGCAAACTCAATACTGATTCTTCCAGCAGCTCGCCTTCATTTTTCCTCTTTCCATCCTTAGGCTCAAGACTGAATCTTTAAAAAGCCACAGAGACAGAGCAATTAACACCCAACTCAATAAGTGCATCACCAAATTTGTGCCAATTTATACAATTTCTCACCATGGCGTTTGTCTGGTGATTCTGAAAAGAGGAGCAGCTTTCCTGTGATCCCCGTTAACCTGTCGGTTAGCGCTGCAGCGCAACGTGGCTCAGCCAGCGCACGCTCCTCCTGCCCTTTCCCGGAAAAACGGTCCCAACTGTGCTAGTTCTTAACCACCAACTCCTCCTTTGCTGAGCAATTTCACTCCAGTGAGGGGCAGAAAAACAATTTAGAAAAAAAAAAAGTGAATAATTTTCATCTCGACTGGCAATCTGCATGGGCTCGCTCGAGCCTGATARGCACAAGAGAGGGGCCCGCCTGCACAGCAGGGAGCGAATCTAAATCTAAATCAACTTGTGCCCCTTTCTCAGGCACTCAGCAACAACTCTGCTTCCTATTCATAGGGATGTGAAGAAAAAAATATAATTTTCAAGTAAATTGAGGTTCTCTAGCTTGGGATGAGACTTCTTAGACACATTAGTTTTGGAAGGAGAAAATTACTTTGTAGACTAAATTTAATTCCTGTACTTCAAGCTGAGGAGGCTTTATTATATTTATAAATAAATATTTATAATAATATATTATTTATATTATTTATAATTATAATGTATTATAATGATTATTTGATATAATATACGAATATGTATATATATATGATATATATGATATATATGATATATATATGATATATATATATGATATATATATGATATAGTATATATCATAGTTATATAGAATATATAATAATTTATAAAGATATTTATAAATAAATATAAATATAAATTATAAATAACAATATATAATATATGAATATTTATTTATTCAGAGGCTCACAATTTTTCAGCAGAAGTGTTTCAGTAACATGCTATTGAAAATGGGAAACCTGATAAAATCACACAYAGGTCAGGCTGACAGGAAAACCCTTTCAGAACAGCCTTGTTAGCAGCGGAACAATTTGATCTTCAAATGATGTGTGTCTCCAAAGTAGATCTCTGTAATCTCCAGAGAACATTGTTAATGTTGAAGCAATGGCACGAGGCAATGCTGGGCTGCAGAGCTGAAGCAGCACTAGAAAAAGGTCGAGAACATTTGGGGATTCTTCTTCACCCACACAAAGCTGTGACATGCAGACGGTGGAATCAGACTGTGATTTCCAGAGGGACACCCTTTATGCTGCCTTCCTGACAGTGGTATTTCCTTGTGCTTTCAGGGGAAATATCATGGCAATCCCATGCATATAGCAGTGATCATCTCCAACTGCTTACGAGAAGAAAGAAGAATATTGGCTGCAGCTAGCATGCCTGTACAGGTAATGAGCTCGACTGCACTAATGTGCTTCCTGTCTCATCTGCTCACGCGCTTTGGCTTTGGGGACTGAATCCCCTCCTGTCACTAGGGATCCCTCCGGAGTCACTTGTGTGTGCACCAGGGCTGGAAGGCCAGACTTACCTGTGTGCTCCAGCAGTGGCCCTACCGCTGCAGACCCTGCTGGAAGGGACTTCCATGTCACAGGGTGTCTTCAGACACCTCCGTCTATGGAAAGGTTTTAGGGGGATTCTTTCAAAGCACATGTGTATGTTTTAAATTATGCAGTACACTAATTATTCCTATTCATTGTGCAATGGCAAAAGATATTCCATGCTGTAGGTAACAAAGGCATTGAGGGCTTTCATGTTGTTTGATGAAAGAAACTTTAAAATTACATATAAAACCTGTTTGGGAGAAACATGGTAGAACACAGATTTTTTTTTTTTAAACTCCTGTGGCTGCAATATATATTCTTACAGAAGTATTGTGGTAAAGATTTTTCTAAAGAGATTGCCTCTTTTATGTTTTAGTTTCTGTTATTTACTAACATTTGCCATTCCTAGCATTTTGCTATTTTGCTAATTTGCTATTACTCGCATTTCCATATCCTTTCAGCTGCTTGATTTCAAAGTTAGAGCAGCATGTTCTTCAAGTCTGTGGACTACAGATTTATCATGGATTTATCTGACCTCCAGCCAGCTGAAGATTCTACATTCTATCTCTATGCCTGAACTTGTAGTGCAGTTACCTGTTTGCAGTATTTTAAGTATAGAGGACATTGCATTGCTAATTTTAAGCACCGTGACTCATTGTTTGCCTGCTGTGTTCCAGGGGCCCCTGGAAAAGTCCTTGCAGAATTCGGTGGTTTCAGAAAGACAAAGAAATGTAGAACACAAAGTGTCAGCCATTAAAAACAGCGCCCAGGTATTTTGCTGTTCCTGTTCTTTGTTTACAGGCCATGGCTTTCATACAGACTATCTATCTTTTACTATCTTTAAGCCACATAGCACAAATACTTGTACTAATGTGACCCTGCAGCAGTTTCATTATTACAATAATCCCAGCACAGGCCAAGGACTCAGGACACACCTGGAATCTCAGGCAGGTTTTCACAGCTTCYCTGGATTCAGTGCAAGGAGAAGCTGGTTTTAAGCTACCACTCATCCTTGTGCGAGTTGCAGTCAGAGCCCTGCATGCAGTAGGAGCAGATCTGCTGTCTCTAAAGAGGTGTGAGATTCAGTAAATGCATTTCTGCAACTTCATCCCAAATGAAACTTGAAATTAAATGAAATATGGGTCATCATTTGGGTCAGAAGTAGCAACCTTCCTGACCTCTCAGTAAGGTTGAAATAGTTACGTGTTTTGGAGACTTGAGGTGAGAACAGTGGGAGCTGATGGTAACAGTTCTCCAGGAATTGYCATGTAGGTCAGAATTGGACTGAGCCAACCATGTAACCGTATCCCCACGAGTCTGGGAAATCTCAATCACAGAGCAGCTGGGAGTTCATTTCAAGCCAGGGTAAGGATTCACATTCCCTACTGCCCTTTTGCCATTACTGCTCCACTTCCAGGTGGGCAGCAAGATGTGTTTGACTTACTTGGATATGTCAGTCAGGGACAGCAGTACTGGTGTACTAGAAAGAGGCCCCAGAAACCTTCTCCTTAGCATCTCCTTGAATGGGGAAGTAAGGCAAAGAAATGAGACCTCTAGAAGGATGGAGCTCGCTTGAGAAGAATATGGTCCTAAATCTCAAGACCAGTATAGAGCTATAAGGGCTKCAGAGCAAAAGCAGCCAAAGCTGGAACCCAACAACCTACCCCATTGCCCGCTCCGCAACGTGTCTAGCAAGCTTGAACTCCTTCAACAAAGTTTCATATATGAATATATGAAATATTCATATATTTCATTCTTCATGGGCCTCTATATGGGGAAGGGCAGCCATCCCTGAAAACCCAGTGAAAGTAAGAATAATTTCTAGGTATATATATATATATATTTAATAGGTAATTAAGTTGAACCCTGAAATCAGCCAGTTCCTTATGTATGCAGTTTTATACTTTACACATGTAATCCAAAAGGAAAACAAATCACTAACTCTGTGTCTTACTTCAGCAAATGAGTTTCTATACTGTTCCCAAATGCTTAGTTTGCATACCTCAGGAAACTAAAAAGAATTTTTAAGGATACCCTAAAAAAGGGAAACTGCTGGCAGGATCAAGGCTTCCTATTAAAGCCACAGAAAGAAACTCCAGAAGTGAGCTGGAAGATTTTATGGTTTATTTTTCTTCATTTGATATTGTAAAATAAATCTATCTAGTTAAGTGTAATACATTCATAATTCTATTGTTTTTTTTTTTTCCTAAAAATTAGAAGATAGTAAGAGGTTCCAGTACTGCTTAGGAACTTTCAAATAAAACAAATTTCTTTTCATGTCACTATAGCTACCTAAATAACCTCCTGCTTTTTATTTTTCCTGGGAAAGATGACAGACCAAGATGTCAAATACTTGGAAGACTTGCAAGAGGAATTCGACTTCAGGTTTAAAACAATACAGAGCTTAGGTAAGAATTTTATAATAATTTAAAGATTTAGGAAAAGGCCAATTTGGTGTCTGGAGTATCAGTTATTTTTCATGTATTACCAGCTAATATATGTACGCACAAAAACTGATTCTTGGAATTTTATATGAAATTGTCATTTGTAATGTAATGATTCTTTTGGGTTAAGAGGGTAAATASGATCTCTTCGATCCAGTACAGCTATTTTCTATAAAGAAACTGCATAAGAGCMTGGAAATTGTAATTTTCTTAATTTAAAGAACGTGTTTTTCAATATCACATGTGACATGGCCCTTCTTTGGCAGAATATGAAAGAGCCTCCTATTTCCAAGGTGGACTTGYGCAAAACAGCTTTTTAGCCTCTAACCTGGGCTCTCTGTCCTTTTTTACTCCAGTGGTGATAACAAACTGGTAAATATCTGGTTGCATGTTTTACCTGCCCGAGAGGGTACCGCGAGCTGCACGCTGTAACAGCCCGCGCTTGGTCTCCTTCGCAAAGGAACCTGGGCTCCACCTGTGTCTGCACAGATACCTTCACGTTACCCCCCTTTTTGAGCACGGAGGGATATTTAGGGCTTGAAATATCCAAGTTCCTAAGCAGGCCATTCCTATACACTTACGGCAGGGCAAGGCCAGGCATTCAAAAAAGATCAAGTTGCCATAATTCGAGTTGCTGGTCATCAGCTCTGCCATCACCATTGGCCATGGAGATGATGGAAAACTGTCCCCCTGGGGAAATACAATACATTTGCTTAAATGAGCTGAAAAACTGGGCCAACAAGTGCTGTACAGGCAGCATGGCCAGCCCAAAGTGCCTTAAAATGTGTGTGAGAGCAAGTGCTTCAGCTGAGCTGACTATTAGTTATATGCTAACTAATATAATTAGTTATATGCTAGTTATATGTCTCTTTTGAAACATTTAACCTGCTGCAGTCGGAAAACACCGATCCGGAGCGTGGCAGACACAGTTGGCACTCAGTTCTTTTATGAAGGCAGCAAGAAAAATGCAGGAAGAGCAACATGGAAGGGAGRAAGGGCAGGCTGCATGTGAAGAAAAATGGGGCAAGCTGGGAACTAATGGAACATCCCCAAAAGGGAAAGCACTGCAGAGAGGGGGCGACCCCAGCAAGGATTCCTCACAGCTCCGAAATCCCCACGGTCATGGGCGCTTCATGCGCAAGGATGCATGCAAATAAGAAATGTATAGATTTTCATGTATCWTTTTTACCTTTGCCTGTTCTGTACCCACACACATACATAAAGAGTGAGATCGTAAATCCATACCTTAAATTTGTATTAAAGTCAGCCTATGCAAATGAAACACACTATTACATAATTTACTGATGTCTGCAGTTAATTCTTTTCGCTATTTCACACTGCAATCTGGTCATGGGTTTTCACCCTCCCCCTACTATAAACACAGAGGCACACACCCACGCACACATTTACCCTGAATTTACTAGTTTTGTCTTCTTTTTTCATCTCCTTGCAGAGCAGAGCGACAAAAACAGTGCCCTCATTAAACAGGAAATGTTGACGTTGCAGGCTATGCTCAACACTTTAGACTACAAGAGAAAGGTTAGTGACATGTTTTGTCCCTTGTGGTTCGTTTGCTTTCTCCCCTTATTCCCACACCACATAATGCATGTGCAGTTTTTCAAATCCTCTTCTCAAAAGAGCAGACATCTAGAGCACAAGAGTGAAATACACAGAAGGTTTTGTGTGGACAGGTTTTTTAACTAGCAGTTAAGAAGTAGCAGCCCAGTGAGGCACATCACTCTGTGCACATGAGAAGGAAGGTGAGAGCGCTAACAGCTAAAAGGCAGCAAACTAACAACATAACAAAAAAAAAAATCCCAAACTGTACATTGGCTGCCAGACAAAATAGAAGGACTTTCTGACCTTGTCAGTGCTTGTAAGTGTCAACATCCTGGGGGCAGCCTGCCTGCAATAAAGACAATTCCTACACACGTCCCACCCCTAAAAGAAGTCTTGCTACAGAAGTTTTCATCAATATTCAGGGTTAATTTTAAGTACAACAGGTCATGAATGCAATCACGAGTTAAAAAGCTGAAGYGGTACAGACTAAATTTCCAAATGATGTTTAAAAACGTAATCAGCACTCAGTGATATTTGCTGAATTCTGTGTCTATTCTCTGTGGCCACTTTGTGACAACTTTCCTATTCTACAGGAAGTGCTCAGTAAAATAGGGCGTGTAATTCATGAGGTTGATGTCTTGATGAACAACATGCTGACTGAAGAGTTGCTGGACTGGAAGAGGCGCCAGCAGATCGCCTGCATTGGAGGTCCCCTCCACGGCGGGCTTGACCAGCTCCAGAACTGGTAAATTCACCTTCAGCTCATGTTTCCACTGCAAACCACAGGCAGTCTGCTGCTTGACAGCAGGCACCATCCCTTGGGATCCCTGCACKTGCCTCCTCGCAACGACAGCAAATTCTTTAGCAGCCAAGCAAGTAAATAACTGCCATACAGTCGCCTCTGATAGACAGCATTTGCTATTGGAATGACTAACAGCACAGTGAACTGCTGACACTGAGACACTGCACTTCTTTTTTGGGTTTTTTTTGGGGGGGTTGATGACTGTTCCAGGTACCCGATACGCATCTTGCAGGGAGTTTTGCTTGAGTAAGAATTGTGCTGGCCAAGTCTCTCACTAGGGATAGTGGGAGTTCTGTCTAGGTTGGAGCTGGGCAGACACCTCATGCTTTGACTCAGTGGGTACCTCACCCCCCAGACTTAAAACTAAGCAGGAATTTAATGGCAGAAACACAGTYTGTGGTGATGACAGAGCATGACTCTAAAGAAGCCGGTTGCACCTAAAACCAAATGGCAATTCATTTAAAAAGATGCAGTGCATTTAAAAAAAAAATGCAATTTCATTTAAAACATGCAGACAAAGAATGAGAACTGTCGTGCTCATTCTCTCCTAAAAAGAAAGAAAACAACACAAACTTCTCTTGCTTGACATGAAAATAAGTGAACAATCATGATTTAATCATGATGGTCATGAAAAAAAGCAACTTCTTTGCTTTTCCCCCTTGGTGTTTTTTCTTTCCACCGAGGCATTTTTATTCCACTGAAGATGTTCAAAAATAGCTYATTTTTTTATTTTATATGTATATAAATATATATATATATGGGATAAATATCCCCTTAAATAGTTATGAAATGCCTTTGGATTTGATTTTCATTGTCAAGGTTTTTACATTTCTGAAAAGTTTGCTTCTTTGGACTTGATAACTTGTCTTTTTTTATATAAATGTTCTCTTCTAAAGACCACATTTTGCAACGCTACTAAGCTGTAGGACAGAAATAAAATTGGCATCTGTGCCCTGCATGCAAATCACAACCACATATTTAGTTCTTCTAAGTCTCATCACCCTGTTGCATTACTGGCCATGACGCCTTTTGAGAAAGTATTTTGCCTTGAGAACAAAGCAGGAGAGTTTGCGTAACATATTTATATGCTCATGTCAAAAGCTGAGTGGACTTCAGTTTGAGTAAAGCTAAAAAGCACCAATTAGTACTGATTCCGACGAATGCAAACTAATATTTTGTCCTGCTGTAGTTTTACACTGTTGGCAGAGAGTCTTTTTCAAGTCAGAAGGCAGCTGGAAAAACTGGACGAACTGTTAACCAGACTGACTTATGATGGAGATCCTATCCCAGTGCAAAGACCTCAGCTGCTGGAAAAAGTCAATTTTCTGCTCTACAATCTTTTCCGGAAGTACGTAAGCTATTGTCAGCTTATGTCATTAATTTGAACTGACACAATTGATTGGCAACAAAGAAGTTGTATTGTTAAGAAAAAAAACGAATGCAACATGGGTTTAATCTTCAGGGATTTTAAAGATTGAGTTCCTAATGTAAAAAATAGGTACCTTTAATCAGAACTCACAGAAGCTGGTGGTACCAGACAGCTTCTCATGTGTTGCCCTAAAAGTTCTGTGCTTAAGCTGTGCCTCTAGATGGACACAGAAAATCCATTTCCTTCAGTAAGATTTATGGACATATGGCTGAGAAAAGCTCCTGTAGGAAATTGATGGGTGTCAGTTTGTTCCTTCCTTGTYGTTCCTCTTTCCTACCTAAGACATTCTTCCCACCCAAACTGACCCACCTACTAACCTACAAAATACTTATGGTCATTATTCTTATTGGTTCTCCTAGAAATATGCCACAAGAAACRATTCTGTTATCTTTATCTGAAAGAAAATGTGGTTACTTGATTTTTGACAAAAAAAAAAGTATTTAATTTCACTGGAGTCAGGTATTACAGTCGCTGTACTTTCATGTTTAGTTTTCTCGTTATGGTAAATGTCTGGGTCTTCCAAGTGAATGCAGTGCCTCAGTGCTATGGAATTTGCTCTGAGCTCTAATATTTTCCAAATATCTGTTTCTTCTGGGGATAATTCAATTGCAAGTTAGACCACTAACTCATTTAGAGAGCCAAGAGTTGGAATACGTATGTCCCACTTCAACATCTGTAGGGGATTAAGTCTCAATGAGATAACAGTGGCTTTTATTTTCTTAACTAYAACTGTTCATTTGTGCATATTCCTGTCAGTCTATTTGTTTTATTTCTTTTCACACTAGTTCATTTGTGGTTGAAAGGCAGCCATGCATGCCAACACACCCCCAGAGACCAATGGTTCTCAAAACCTTAATACAGTTCACTGTTAAATTAAGGTAAGGAAATCTCATAAATTCCTTCMTTTGTGTACACTTTATCCTAGCACAGCATTTCAGAATTTTAAAAACAAAACAGACCAAAATTGTGTTTGGAGTAGAGCAGAGATCCTTTTGACTCCAGTGAGCTTTCTTAAGTGCAGATATAAATACTGCAGAAGAGCCAGTATTGAAAACTCACATTTCATATCCATCTAACAGCAGAAAGAACGTAAGGAACACATGGGGGTCAGGAATGTATAAGCATATAGTCTATAAGCACATGTACAATGCAGTTACAGATTATGCAGAGTCTGTCTCAGGTATCTTTTTTTTCTACTTACTCCCTCAAACATCCAATAATGTCTTCACATCCGTGGAGGGAGGGTGAAGGCCTTTCCGTTGGAATCACCTCATCCCTTCTGAGTATGGGGCCCTGTGATACAACCTTCCAAGCTTAATGTGTTTTCAGGTCATGAGATTTCAGATACTTTAGTGTGGAGCTACTGATCTCTAATATTTTCTGTTGACAARCAAGTTTATTCTTCAAGAGTTTCTGATTTTGATTGTTCCCTTTTATACTTTCTGTTTCAAAGGCTGCTAATTAAGTTGCCAGAGCTGAACTACCAGATCAGAGTGAAAGCAACTATTGACAAGTAAGAAACTTTAAAGTGAAATATTAGACTACTCTCTCTTCCTGCAGAAATAACACRAGTTTTTCAGTTGCTACCCTGTGTGATTTACAAGGCACTTTAAAAGGGAAAAAGTAAACCAAAAAGTCAAAACATTAAGGAAATTGTTTCAGAAAACAGCATGCCATGACTTAATATACATGGGCTCATATTTTCTCAGAATATACTCATACCATATTATTAGATGTCACAGCAGTTCTGAATTCCCACATATCATTTCCATGGCAGAAAAAAAATGCTGTTATGAAATATATTACTTTAATTTCACTAGATGCCAATGTCTAGCTGATGGGAGTTTCAACTATTTGTTTTAAAAAATGCATTTTTATTGGTAATACTTATTAACTTCAGCAGACAAAGCAAACCTACAGTCTTAAACATGTTTCTCAATGTAAGTATGGTTTACACGTTCACCAATTCACAAGTCTCTTTCCTTTCTCCGCCCTTTTTCTATTCCAGAAATGTTTCGACTGTGAGGTAAGACAATAAAATATCTAAATTCTTAAATTATCCAGTGTTACGTTCCTTCCCTCCGAGTCCCTAAGTGCAATGTCTTCCCTAGCAATCGCAGGTTCGTTCTGTGTGGAACTCACGTGAAGGCGATGAACATGGATGAGTCAGCAAATGGAAGTCTCTCCGTAGAGTTTCGGCATTTGGTAAGTTTGCTCGTTTCTTGCTAGGCACCTCTAGTAAAGAGTAATATATTCCTTARTGTGTGTATATATATATTATATATATGTAATATATTCCTTATATTCCTTACCTCTCGTAATATATTCCTTAAAACTTGCTCAGCAGAACTGTACTCCTGTTGAATATACACTTTTTTTTCTACCTTATATAGACAATTTACTCCTAGAGCCTCTTTACCCTCTTCCTTACTTCATATACATATTCACATAAAGGACAAAGCAAAAGGAACTAGAGGTTGAAGGTCTTGGCTTCTGTGTTGTATTACATAMTTACCAAGTACCCTAGTTAAAGCTTTACCATGTTAATCTTATTATAAGCTAGTTGCTTTAAAAAGATCTTTTAAAATACCAAGACATTGGTATGGACTGAATGGATTTCTCAAGCCATACTGTCAGAGCCTTTGCTAGAGTGTACGCATATATTGTAAATAAATTCTAATTATATACATACACTATCATGTTATAAATTATATTCTTTATGTATTTTCGTTTATAATCTCGTTCGTACAAAAATACTGTTTTGCTTTATACAGCAACCCAAGGAAATGAAATCAAGTGCTGGAAGCAAAGGGAATGAGGTTTGTGGATTTATTTTACATAGTATTTTTGATTATGTTCAGATGCATTTCAGGTTTATTTTTATTTTTATTTAATTCATACAGCAACTATAGTTTAGTGCCTTAGATTTTGAAGCCCGTAGTATCCTTACAAAAAGGACAGGACCCAAGTATCCTACGACAGGATAATGAGAAATATTCACAAGTATGGAAATTTTGATTAAATTCATCAAATTTACATATTAAAAAAAGTCACAATGAAGGTGACTTTAATAATGACTTTAATAATAGTGATAATAATTAAAATAAAGGAAGTAATAATCTGAATGTATGCATTCATTCTGTAATGCTTTTTTGTGGTCTGACATTTACATTTTGAAACGACAAAATGTAAGCTTTTTGAGCTTTCTGTCTGCTAGTTTGCCTATAGATTTTTGTATTATATACTCTATTGGCCAAGTTTGCAACTAAAGTAAGGGTTTACTTACACTTGCTCAAGGATTTGCTTGTTGATTAGGCGACTCTCACCAGTCTGGTGTTCCCCTCTTGCGGCCACCTTGCCTCACGGCACGCCAGACCTCGCAGAACCTCCCGCTGCTGCTGCTTAGCAGCAAAGATCTGCATCCGAATCCGAACCCGAAGCAAAACCAGAACCAGTGGCAGCCAATGACTCAGCCACTGCCAGCGCGACCCAAACATTAAACTCCCCCAGGATAAATCAGGTTCTATAAAATGCATATACAAATACCATATCCTTACCGAGGAAGTGAGATAGGTGATACAGATTAAAGACACATAACTGCAGCCTACCTTTTTTACACGTAGACGTGGTGAGGGTAAAGATGCATTAGTAAGTTAAAAAAAAAAATCACAACCAAAATAGCTGTCGTACAAAAGATATTGMAAATATAGCTTTACATACAAAGCAAAGGTATGGGTAATTTTAGCCAAAACCCTAAAGCAGACAGTACTTGTGCATGCTTAATACTGTGTTTCTGAAGGGACTAACTTACAACTTCATTAGCAAGGCAAACACAAAACCCGCTTGCTAATACTTTGCTACTTTGTTCCCCAAGGAACAGTTTTATTTTACTTTGACTCAAAGTGGAATATTTCCGTAAACGCAAATGAAAGCATTTTGATTCAGGAACACAAAGATTTCAGGTCTTTCTGAAAAGTGCGAGAAAACAAATGTCTTATGGTGGGAAAAAAAAAAAAAAAACAGGAAAGGGAAGAAAAAAGCTTTTTATGTTTTGACTTCTGGGTATCAAAACAATTTAAGAGTGCTCTTTCCCACGGGGAGATTCTGATCTGTACTGAACAATGTTTGCAACCAAAACAGAAAGTATCTACTACAAAACTTAATCAAGAATTTCAAAGATATTTTCTTTTCTCTCAAAGAAAAGCTTATTTTCTAAAGCAGGTTTGTTTGGGATTAATGATTTAAGACTCTTCCTTCAAGCAATGCCTTCTGAGTAAACAAAAAGTGTTTTAGGATGGGGGCCTACTTATCATTAAAAAACTAACTCTTGTAACTGTTGTGTTGTCACTGTTTTGTTTCTGGTTTGAGGGTGAACATCTCTAGTTAAATTGAAATTGTCAATCAGCAAAGGAACTTCAAGCAAAAAAAGAGTTGGGACAGTCTTCATCAGACAAAATATGCTAAAAGTTGCTGAATGTGCAACGTTTCAAAGTAACACCTTTAATGTTATAAACAAAACCTACGAGCTTAATAGTGTTGTTTTGCCAATGCTTCGAGTGTTTTTCAGAAAACATACCAGATTTCTGGGCTGATTTAGTGTCATRGAGTTTAACAAACAGATCATTTCCTTCCTTTCTGCTCTACTTACACAATTGTTAGGTGTTTTCTTTGAATGCTGTGAGATCTCAATAGTTTGGAGTACCAAGGTGGTAATAAATGCCAAATGTGCATTCGCAGGTTTATAATCTACTTATTTGCACAGGGCCCTCATATGGTGACTGAAGAACTGCACTCCATCAGCTTTGAAACACAAGTGTGCCTGTACGGTCTGACTATGAACTTGGAAGTGAGTACTCCTGCCACGTTGCCCTGCAAGAATAAAAAATACTTTCCACTTGCTTACATAAGAACAACCACATGGGTTGACCATAAGTCCACCATAAGATGCCATCTTCAGCAGTAACGATAAGCGGATGTAGGATTTCCAGAACTTCTGGACAGAAATGCACAGAGAAAAATTTTTAGCCCTGCTGTTTGGAAGCTCAAATGCYGGTCCTCATTGTAATTGCTTTGTGTAGTTTTTTAGAAATGATATCTAAGCAAAGGCTGTAGGATCTGTTGAAATGAGAGGTAAAATCCCTACCATGTTTACCGGAAGGCACACCCCTGAATTAAGCATGGTAAATGCTGGCACTGCAGAAAGTCTGTGATACCAGTCGTGAGGCTGAGGTACCTGTGTACCTAACATAATTTTTAGAAGCTCTTTTAGCTGCAATAACAACCAYAAATCCCTCTTCTGGATGCACGCTAAGCTATGCTATGGCTAAGCTTGCTACTTAGCTCCTGAATATGCCCTCTGAAACGCTATCCATATCTTGAAATGTAGGCTAAACAAAATAAAAACATCACAGTTGGCTCTGCCGTAAACTAGAAGATCCCAGGCTAAAAGAACASTATGTTTTTGGAGGGGAGGAAAGGACAGGGGACAACAGAGAAAGGAATAGGAAGAGAAGGTTAAAAGAAAACAGAACATAATGCAGGACTAGCATTTTCCTCAGCAACAGTAACRTACTCTGTCTTTTCTTTTCACCAGACAAGCTCTTTGCCAGTAGTCATGATTTCCAACGTCAGCCAATTACCCAATGCTTGGGCTTCTATTATTTGGTACAATCTCTCAACCAATGATCCTCAGGTAGGTCTTCAGTTTGCAAACACTAGCTTCCTGCATTCTCAAATTTCCAAATACATTCAAACAAATACACACACACAAAAAAAGTTTCCCTCTCACACTGGCCTTCTTCTCTTCACATACACTATTCTTATAACAGTTTCACCTGTTTTATTACAATCTAATTTGCCATCCCTTTTGTTCCATGCCCAGGCAGAAAACCATATGCACTGTTAGTCTGCTAAAGTAGTAAATCTCAACATAAGGCAAGATAATAGCCTCTCTCCACAACTTTTCTAGTTTCAATTTGTCTTTCCTAAATGCMCTTGAGCCAAACTACCTGATACTCCTCAAGGAATGCAAATTAGTTCCACTAACAGAACTCCAAGCTGTCAAACTCACTGTATAGGTGGGTCTGTACTCTACTTAAATACTGTTTCATTCATGCATTTTTAGAAGCTTTATTTATTTGGAAGTGCTTTATTTATTTGGAAGAACAGTGCTGTCAACAGCTCTATTAAGTTTTCATTTGTAGCTCTCATATGGCTGTCCTGAGCAGAGAAAGGGCAAGATCCCACACCTGAGAACGTCTTTAAAAATGATGGCAGGGCACGGCAGGGCAGCTCACCTCAGTTTGGACTTCACTGTAACTCTGTGATGCTCCTCACTGTCTTTTGCATAGTCATCAGTATGTTCATTAGATTTTTTTTTTTTTGATTTTTGAACAGTATATAAGTAATTCAACAACATATTGTTTTGCAAGTGCCCAATATTTTACGATTTCCGTGTGCCAAGTTTGACCATAAGAATGCCATAATTATGATGAAAATCTGTATTTATTGGATAGGTTTTAAGCGTATTTTCACCGTCCTAACACAACGCTACCAGAAACATGGCAAGGTTTTCTGCTATCTGAGGCACATACACCCCGTTTCATTCTCTGTCTCTCCTCCTCGCATTCTCCACTGCCACCCAAGAGGAACTTGCTACATAGCAGGGCTAGGGCCTTCCCGCTTCTAGATTCTGCTTAATTAGCTACAGCTTTCTTTTGTACTCTGTAGTTTTTTAGGGTTGCTAAGTGTCTAAAAGAACCCTTTCTTCTGTTGCAGAATTTGTCTTTTTTTAACAATCCCCCAACTGCCACTTTGAGCCAGCTCTTAGAAGTCCTGAGCTGGCAATTTTCATCGTATGTTGGTCGGGGACTCAATTCAGAGCAGCTCAACATGCTGGCAGAAAAACTTACAGGTAAGTTGATAGAAATGTACAGATTGCATTTGCTTGTAGACYTTTACATGTGCTAGCCAGAAGTAATGGCTTTTAGCATGACCTCCATTTCCAGTGCTGACTTCAAAAATGCCACCATGACATTTTTTCTTTAAMAGAAAGTACATGTCAGCTTATTCTTACCACAAAGTGATTCAACTTCTGAACTTCTAGGCTGCTAAGCTGAAGAAATAGGGCGTGAACTTTACCTTGCTTCCTTAAGATCCCATGCATTTGAAATCAAAAAGTCATCTTTCTGCTTCTTTGTGTGGTTTAGGGGGTTGGTTTTGTTATTTTTCTTCCYTTTTTTAAACARCCTGTCCTTTTAGGCTCCTTAGTGCTGAGGTCCATCCTTCTCCAATGACGATATAGAAATGAGGCCCTGCATAGCTTAAACTCAACAGTGAGACCAACAGTTTGACACTTCATTCTGACTGTCAGAAAGGACAGGCTTTAGGGAAATCCAGCAGAATTAAAGAAACTTTGGTCTGTTTGTCAAGAAAAAGCAATTGTAAARTATCTCCTAAGCTGTAAGGAACTCCAAAATTAATTTTGGTTTGCTGAAAGCACAGGGTATAAAAATACCTCTACTGTCAGGCAAGAACAAATGCATTTGTCAACAAAGGGGGAATCTAATTTTGGGGAATCTAATTTTACTGCTTTCACAGCTGGGAAGAAAAGACCATTTTCTCTCAGTAGCTTTTCTAAATGGTTCCTTACATGTTTCTGCATTAAGGGAGGTAGTGGTGTTGAGAGGTGCCATTGCAAACCATTAAAAACATACATATTGTAAGAAAATTAAACTTAGAACACAAAAATTCAAGCTAGAGTGATGGCCAATGGAAGTCAAACCCATTAAAAACTGAAACTAAGCACATAGTGCTGCAGAARCCAAATCCTGGGTTGCTTTAAGCAAAGTTTCCCAAAGTTAGCATCTGCAGTAGCTTCTGAAGGATACACAAAAGCTGCTGAGTGCAGCTCAACAGTCTCTGCAGGGACACAGCTACCTGCAGTCCCTTAGCATGCCCCTCTGAACCACTCTCCAATACCTTAAAGGGGAAAAAAAACTTAAAAGGGAAAAAAACCCACTATACTGGTGTCAAATATTTCAGAAGCTTCAGAAGAGCAGGCTCATATTTTTATTTTTTTTTTTGCTTTTAGGGCAACAAGTCAGTTACAATGATTATCAGCTCTCCTGGGCAAAGTTCTGCAAGGTAAGACTGAAAGTACAACAGATCTCCTTTCTGGAATTGCCTCCAGGGATGCCTAACTCCATCCCACTGATGTCAGTGAAAAGATTCCCACTGGCTCTCCGTGAGACTCCTATGCCCAGCAAAAATCACATTGATTCTAAATGTTATTAGAAAACAGTATTTCCGGAGTTGTAAAGCTTTGGCTAAGTAAAGGAACTAATGAGCTCCTTTACTAATATAAGATATGAGACTGTCAGTAGTTTTAACCATTCTAGTCAGTTYGAGATGTATTCACTTGAGAAAATGTTATACTCAAGTACAATGTTTTCTCTGTCCTTCTATGTAAGATCAATACAGACTGTGCTATCAGCGTATGCAGTGAGTCATTTTTTGCTGTCAAATAAGTCACGCAATAAGGGAATTTCTCCATATGCTCAGTTGTGGCCGAAATTAGTTCAAGTCAGTCAATATATTCACTAATTTTGACAGAAACTATCAAAATTGAGAAGGAAGAAGAGTAAATCCATTTTGTTCATATTAACTATGTTATTTAAATATACAGAGAACCTTTGRAGAAAATTCAACTTTCTCCCTAACATCTCTCTCAAAATATAATTTCACAAGGAGAAAGAACCACTAAATAGGAATTTGCTCTAAAAGAGAAAAGAGATACTTCCAATGCATATCTTAAAAAACAAAATACTTTTAAATCGGACTGAAAGAAAAATGTAAMTGAGATCAGCAATTCAGATTTGTCATTCTCACAGGAACACAGACTAGGTAATTCTTAAGAAAACGGGGCAGCCATGCCATACGGATGTAGTGTGCTCTTTTTATGTGCTCTTTTTTCCCTTCCCTTACTATTAGGAACATTTACCTGGAAAGTCTTTTACCTTTTGGGTTTGGCTTGAAGCCATACTGGACTTGATTAAAAAACACATTCTTCCCCTTTGGATTGATGGGTGAGCAGTAGGAAAACAGATGTATATTGATCTCTCTGCTTTTTTCCTTCTTCTATATTAAGCTCTATTTTAACTATACATTCCTTCTTCTATATTAAGCTCAGTATTAGCTATACAGAAGCGAATTTGCAAAAGCTTGAACACTTCTGCCTGCCTTTCCCTGTTCTACTTTTTTAAAAAACTTTTCCAAAAAGGAACACTATTGAATCTATTAAAACTATGGTTTAAAATTTCTCCTTTATGATTTTTGCTGGCATACACTCAAGTTCTGTGATGAATTTCATGCTGTTTTATAGTTCTTTAAGCTCAATGCCATATTCGGCATGTAATTCATTTTCAATCTAACACCTAGATTACTATATAAAGTTTGGCCAGATGTACACAGAATGAAGTGTGTAATCTTTCCAARAGTAAAACCATGATTTTTTGCTAAATTTCAGGTACATAATGGGATTTGTGAGCAAAGAGAAGGAACGGATTTTGCTCAAAGACAAGACACCAGGAACATTTTTATTAAGGTTTAGTGAAAGCAACCTGGGTGGAATTACCTTTACCTGGGTGGATCAATTAGAAAATGGTAAGTATGATTAAAAACCAGAAACACAGAGATTGAATTCTGCAGTACGCCTGCAATACAAGAGCCACRGTTTCCTTGGTTTATAACGTTGATATATCATGGCTTAGTTTGGTTTGGGGCAGCATATAAGCAGCATATTTTTTGAAATGCAGATCAACTTTGACAGCCTGCCAGCCAGTTCTTTATATTAATGTACATGAATTCGTTAGATACCTGCAGGTTTTACATGTGGTTCCTTATGTGCATAACGTATATATTAGCCTCTTTCAAGTTGATTTAAGTAGAAGTCATGCCATGGAAGCTACCAAGGAAAGGTGACCTATGTTCCAGCTCTGGCTCTCCAGCTATTTTCATTATCTGCACTTGTGGTGCCTCTGTGTTTTTACAGGAGAAGTAAGATTCCATTCTGTGGAACCCTATAACAAAGGTCGCTTAACGGCGTTGCCCTTTGCTGACATCCTGCGAGATTACAAAGTTATTATGGCAGACAACGTTCCTGAAAATCCTCTGAAGTATCTGTACCCAGACATTCCCAAAGATAAGGCCTTTGGCAAACACTACAGCTGTCAGCCAAGTGAAGGTTGGCCTCCATTTCTGTCTTTACTTCTTCTGAAAAGCAACTTCAAAGTCACAGGGTACGCAGTAAATTTAGAGAGAGGAGGAAGGGGACAGAATCAGATGCTTCCCTTAATCACCATTTTGGAGAACTGCTTTAGTATGTCCCTACAGTTTCATTTGGAAAATTGAACTGTGGATTTAGAGGTAACAGGAGAGGCTATTGCACCAATACTTCAGAGAAGCTACATAGTAGGTAGAAAGATTCTTTTCTTGGAAAAAGAAAAAAAAAAAAGGAAGTAGAAAGGATTCTTTTTTTCCCAGCAATGCATTACAAACACAAAATTAATACTCAGATGTTGGCAGAATATGAAACTGAAAGTCACCCAACTTACTTTAAAAAAAAAAAAAAAAAAAAAACTGTGGAATTCAAGTAATTCTTTATTTTCCAAACTCCTTGGAAAACCTGCCTTCATAACTTAACCGGAGTGCACTATGAGCCCTGGAAAACACCCTGGAAAATACAAAAAGACCAGACCACATTAGCTGTGAATGGGTGCAGGCCCCTGCTCCCTCCTGTCTGAATAACAAGTCATTTTTAGATAAAGCTTACTGTCCTGTAGAAAACAAAAGCCATGATTTTTCTAGGTAACACCCGTTTGTCTTGACTTTCAGTGTAACTACATTTCAATTCAAGTCCTTATGCTACTCAAAGTTATTTGGAGGCTACAAGTGCTTTTCCTCCTTATTTTAATTCAGTGCATTTTGCTTACTGCTCCAAATCTCTAAAAATTTATGCGTACGTTTAAATTTCATGCAAAATGTGTCTCTGAGGCTTTACCTGAATAGATAACACCCCATGCAAGTACTTGTGGAATCTAAATCCCAAGACTGGGACATGGAAAGCTTTTAGAATAACAAAGAATTGCCCTTTAAAATCCCAAGGAGATCTTTCATCAGTTACCATAGGATAGGAAGGTATTTTTCCTATTAAGCGAGCACAATTTTGTGACTAAGACCTGAATGCAAAGCCTTGGCTCAGGAATTTCCGACGTTTTTATGACTATWTATTATTAACAGGCACATTTCCCTTTTAAGGTTTTATTATCTGCAGCTCTTAAAGCCAATAAYCACTTTTCAGTAAACAGCAATATTGCAAGGCCCCATTTAATTTCTGTAATATTAATTTTTAGTCTCAAAGCCCTCTGAAGGAGGAGTCAAGGGTTATGTTCCATCTGTATTTATCCCAGTCTCCAAAATGTGAGTAACTTCATAGATTTATTACAATTTGAATGTTATTTTCAATAAGTTTACGTACTGCTTCCAGCTTTTCTCTGCCTCCCTTCCCCCATCCAACCAGCAAGGGATCATGTGTTTTTGTTTGCCCAAGGAATGCTAAATGGGAAAGGGAAATGAACTTCACTCTGGAGCGCTTTTCCCAGTCATGTGGCAATACATTTGTAAAAATATAATGCAGACTTTGCGGTGCTGTGATCTGTGGCACTGTTGCCCCCTTTCTCTGAAGCAGCAGTGATTACGGAGTCAGTGCTAACACCTCATCCCATGGTTCATATTTCCTGCACTTGGGAGCTGTGGGGAGGTGCTCACAGCAAGCCCCAGCACTGTCTCAACCAAATTAAGCATGCAGCGATACCCCATACTGCCCTGCTATGCACCAAGTTAGAGAGATTTCAGTTGCTTTTAAGATTATTTTTGTTTTTTGTGTTTTTTTTTTTTTTAAGCTTAATTGATCCTACAGATCCACCTTCTCCATCAGATCTTCTTCCCATGTCTCCAAGTGTTTATGCTGTGCTGAGAGAACACCTGAGTCCCACAGTGATTGAGACAGCGGTACGTTGCAGGCTCCTCCATTTATAGTCTAATACTAAGCAAATGGCACRTACACAATGCATGTGGTGCTTATAAAATAAAAGAGACTTTTGCAGCTGTGACTAAGTTAGAGCTCTGCCCTGAGCTGCTGTGTTGCATTTTSAAGTAGCTGCACGGACATTTCCTATTCTAAAAAGGCCATATTTGCAGGCCCTGCGTTGTAGGAAACTGTTTGATGTGCTGGCCAGTAAACCATGAAATTCCTATCGCATAGACCTTGGAGTCCTTACACAACTTAATTAGACTTCTACACTCACATATACACAGAAATCACGCTAGCTTTATAGCTGATGTAAAGGAATTGGTTCTGCTGAGGGAAGCAGCACAATTTTCTTTTTTTTGCTTGCTGACTAGAATTAGCATTCTGACCTCTGCAGTTATACAGCACAGACCACTTTGGCTTTTAAATTACAAGACCTGAACTGGCCTAAATAATCACAGCTTGGAGTAGYGCTAGTTTATACCCACCAGATACTACCAGGAAGCACAGCAGTGGTTTGGCCTTAAGAGCTTCTAAAGAAAATATCAGATTTTTAATACTACATCTTAATTTYTGGTTTTCAGTATGTTCCATGATTTATGATCTTAACTGATTAGGGATTTTAAAGCCTGTCAAATCACCCTCAGATGCCTTGGTGCAAAAACTCCTCCTTCTTCCAGTTCAGACTGGCCATGATCTAATCAATGCGGGAGATATAAATAGCAAAAATCATTTGGAAGCAAAGTAAAAATTTGAGGATAAATAATTATTTTAGAAAAAAACTTAGTATCTGATCATGAACCAAATTTATCTGGTTCACCTTTCTTTTTCTGTTAGCATTCAAACTAGTATCCCACTTAAGACTGAAATACCCATTTGAGTGAAAACTCGGGGTTAAAAAACACTGCGACAATCCGAGGTGTCTTCACCCACTTGTCGTGTTTTGTATCTACAAAAACAGGTCTGACTTTAGAAAGAGCATTTGTGAACTACACATACAGTTGCATTTCTTTACGTTTTGACAGTGAAGAGAATAGTTGACTTAACTTTTGCTCRTCACACAGCATTTTCAGTTTCCTTTCATGTACATCACAACTCTCATACAAGCACGGTCAGGACTTCCCACACCATCACATTCTAGGGTTGCAGACAGAAAGCATTTGCTGCTGAGGTGGGAGATTCAAATACAGTCACGTTGAAGTAACTCACAGAGATTTCTGGAGGCTCTGGCTAGAGATGTTTTCAAGTTCTGCAGGTACAYAGGGGAAAATATAGTATTTGAAAGTTAAGATGATTTCCTAATTTTGTATTTTAATTATTCTGAATGAGAATAAAGGAAATTTGGATTTTTTTCTTTATTCATCTCACAGTCACACAACGTAATCTATACTGGTGAGTAGCTAACCTGCATTCTTAAAACAGCAGAAGCAGCAGAAGCAGCAGTCTCTCTTCACTTCTTAATGAGACGTCAGTGAAAGATCACTGGCGTGGCATGTGGAGAAGAGCAAAAGCCATGGCAGGAGAAAACACCTTAGAGCTCAGTACCTCAGTCCTACAAGATCTTCAAGATTGCCTTTCCATTCCCTCTCTCCTGCTTCCGCTACCCACTTGGGAAACAAGACTCCAGTAAGAACTTTGCTCTACAAACCCATGCGCTGAAAGAAACACAAAATTTGTGTAAGAAGACGTGTATTTTTTATTGCTACCACTTCCAACAAGTCTCTTCTAATGAATATCACTAGGTTTTGTGGGGGATTAGAAGGATCTTCAGAGCCTTACGAGCTCACACTAGAGTGTGAGACTCCAGTTACTTTGACGGCTTTATTTTGGGCTATTTTCACATGAGCAGCAGTAACTGTCTTGATGCTAACAATTTTGTTCTTTCCTTCTAGCTCAGTTCTCCTTATTCAAATGATTGAAGCTCTGGAAAAACAACGAACTGTGTGGACACAGCATGGTTAAACGAAGCCACTATTTATCATCTTTGTAAAGCATCGTTTCCTGAAAACCATTTGATCCGACTGTCGGGCCTCATTTCGCTTTCAGTTACGTGTAAGCCAAGAGCCTTGTGGTGTCCATGGAATTATAAATATTTTCCCGTAATTCACTGACAAAAGGCCAACTCCTTTTCAGCCTGTAGATACTTTGACATCAGTGAGGTCCAGGGGGCACAAATTTGATTTGTAACATAAATGGATGTGGAATTGCTGTAAATACATTATAAGAAATAGTTTTGCTTTTGAGAACCCCGTGAAAGTAGCCAACTAAAGAGATTAAGGTTYAGAGGGAAATATTCTGCAAAACGGCTTCTGTTTAATGTTCTTTTTGCATGCTCTTGTTTTGACTTCCATTTTAAAGAGAAGCTTCTCCTGACCCTCTGAGCTTGATTGTCCCATAAGGATCTGGAGTCTTTTTGACCAGACATCAACTGCCTTCAGCACAGAGTCAGATGTTTCTATCCCACCACAGCAAAAGCCATGGAAGGGAGGGAAGAAAGCTTGGGAAGACAAGGGAGTTCTRGAAAGTAATGGACACAAAGCCCAGGGAATCGGAAACGGGAGGACAGGGATGGCAATGCCTTCCCCTGCCTCAACGTAGGTGCAGAGGYGTGAAGCCTTTAAAAAGCAAACTTCCTTTTATTCAGCATTATCCCTACATTAAGAAACCAGCAATTCCATCATCACTGTCTTTCAAGCTTACAGGCTCATTCACACGAGGGCAACTGTGTATATAGTTTGGTAACCTCTGTAATTTATGACTGATAKCAATAAAAACAGATTTTGGCTTAAAGTTACATGGACTTTCGTGGATTTTTTTCCAAAGTACAACAGAAAGAGAGTCTTGTTTTCGTTGTTCTTAAATCTAAACTACAAGCTAACTAAAGCAGCAAAACACAGCGTTGCTTAGCACCAGCTGTTGCTTGTTTTTTGGCTTTAACCACTTCTTGCTATTTTAACAAGTGGGGGCTGCTCTGCACTGAACACAGGGAGGCAGCAGCCAAAGGTCCCCAGGACAGCGCGTGGTGCAGGTGCCCTGTCACCCCAACAACTCTGTGGGAC